GCTTCATTTTGAACTTATTTCAACCAGGTACATTCTGAAAGGGAAAGCAATTACCTCCCATTTTCTTTCCTTTATAAATGACTTTACCATATTTCCCTCCTAGAACTGGATACATTTTGAAGTCCTACGTATTTAATAAAGTCATTTGGTAAATAAACATTTTGTTCATCACTGGGTTCAGTTGTTAGCCAGCCATATTCCATTCTGCTCTATTAGAAGCCTGTACATTACAGCAAATAACAGCAGTTTGCACAAACCACACATTTGCTCTCTTTGGACACTGTGCATTGCATATTCTCTTATATTTAAATCTCTTCAAAGCAACTACTATTATTATTGCCCCCATTTTGCAGATAGGAAAAATGAAGATTGCTCAAGACCACATAAGTCACACAAGCAACAGACCAAATACTTGGACTTGACTACAGTTTGTCAGACACCATCCACTTAACCACACATGTGTTCTCGGTGACATGTAACTTCTCAAGAACCCCAGGGCCCAGCGTGTTTGTGGCAGAAGGACCGTGAATCCTCCAGTTTGCTGAAGAGTCTACTGAACACTTTGGTTTGCAAATATAAAGGATTCTGTGAAGCAAAACTTTAAACAAATTGTGGTAGACAGCTGAGAAAAGACACCTGCAGACAGAAGGATGTGGCCGGATGCTTTGCGGGTGGGCCGGATGGATGTGCAGTCAGGTGACTCCAAGGAGAGGGAGCAGTGACAGGCCAAGACACCTAGACGTCAAACCACAGTAGCTGCAGGTACCTTACACAGTGGACGTGTAAGCACTTCTGTCAGGTCACACAGATGTAATGAGCATGTAAGCAGCGCCCTCCCTCTCCCACCCCGGCCCACTTCGCTTGTTTGTTTGAAATGATTATTTAAATAAATTGAAAAAAAAATTTTTTTTTTCTGAAGTGTGTCTGACTGAAAGAAGCAGAAATATGTCAGGATTCAAAATCAGGAGCCCTAAATAAATTGTTCCGATATGCACCAAATAGTTTAGGTGAATGACCTTTTTGCAAGTTCTTTCACTTCTCTCATTCAAGATTTCTTCCCTTCTAAACCCAGTGAATTGGGCTACTGAACCCTAAATATTATTGAACTTTCAAACTGCTCTGCTACTATGATTTATTGTAAACCTCCACTCTCCTCAGCCCTGGATTAAATAGCTTGACCTTTAGGCACAATAGAAGGCACATTTCTACATCTTTTGACCTAGGATATCAAAACGGTGTAGCTATGAACACTGGAATTTGGACTGTATGACTGAATTTTAAGTTTTATGTCACCTTGATTAGGAAGCCTACTACATTCAGTTTTTCAAAACCTAAATACTTTTGAAACAATTGAAGGATGTGAATCTGCTCTTTTCAATAGCAAATTTGTGAAATCTAAAGATAAAATGCTTTGGATTAAAATTTAGTCTGAATTAGTACATACTTGCAGTAACACGCATGCAAAGTTTAAAATGTATAAAAAATAACTCAATATAAAAAGGTAATATTTTAGATATATTGAGTGAAATAAAACATATTATTTCAACCTCTTTTACCTTTTAAAATATGGCTACTGGAACATTTAAAACAACAAATATTCCTGACATTTCTTTTGGATAGTTTTGAGTGTTAAAATTTAATCCACTATGGTGGGTGCCTGGATTGGTATACTGGCCCACCCAAATCAATCATGAATGTTTTGGAGAAAAGAACTGTGTCACCCTTTGAGAACGGCAGCTGGACCAGTCTGAGTTACCATGCTCATCAGGAAAGACTTGCCTCAATTACCCTTGCTGGAAGAGCTGGAACATCTGAGGTCATGAAGGGTCTCACCGGTTAATGCTGCCCAGGCTGGGGTGTCCCCTAGGTACCATGCCTAACTGTCCTGTGATGTCCTCCAGCAGAAATGAGGCACACTTTGACCTCCTGAGAGCGTGCCTGTTCGGAGGAGCCTTTCCCATTCAGTGTGAGTATGCCCACTGTGGGGAAGGTTTTGAGCCAGGTCCTTTCAGAGGCTGTTTGTCCCTCTGGTGTCTAACCAGCCTTAGGCTGGCCACCGATTCCTGATTTCTAGACAGGCAGTAGACAGCTCTAGACAGTGCTTGTTTAGCTCTTCCCACACAGGCTCATGTAGCATCCCAACATTCAACACACTCAAACTGGTATGCTTGTCCCTGGAGCAGGATTTGTCAGTGGCACAAGTTACGAATTTGAGGTCTTCTTTGTTTGCTGAATTCTATACTGTCCTCTGACTCTACAGGGGATACATGTAGGACCAGTGCAAACCACCTTTCCTGGTATTTGGTGAGCTCACCTAGATGGAATATGGTGAGTGTGTGCACCACTGGCTCTCAGTGGTGACTCCCTGGGAATGTCTTGGGAAGACCACCTTCCTTAGATCAGAGCGTGGTGATGAACCTGCACGGAGCAGCAGCACTGTGGTGGTAGTTTGCTAGGTTTTCTAAGTGCTACACAGTAGGTGGCTTACACAGCCAACTTGTTTTTTTGAGGTCTGGAGGCTAGAAGTCAGCAGATTTCCTATCTTTTGAAACCTCTGCTTGCTTACAGTTCGCTTTGTGTGTACGGTCTGTGTCCTAGTTTCTTCCCGTAATGACAGCAGTCATACTGGATTAGGGTCCACCCATATTATCTCATTTTACTTTAATTACCTCCTTTAAATACCCTGTCTGCAAATATGGTTATATGCTGAGGTACGGTGGGCCAGTTTTTCAACACAGAGATTGAGTGAAGACATGGGCAGTAAGGCAGCACTCAAGGCTGACCCATCTCATGAATTGTGTGGTCACAGCCAATGGCCACAGAATGGCTGGCATTTCCTACTGAATGGGATGGCAGCAGGTACAGCTCCAACATGGCCGTGACTGAGTCCAAGTCAGTGAGGTAGGCTAGGAGGATGTGCTGACTTCTGAATTTTCCTGCAAGGTCTCAGAGTACATACAACCTTGTGAGAAGCAGGACTCCCCTGTGACATGGACATCATTGCCTGAGACTGACAAGCGTGGCTAACTGTCTGGAAGAGTGGGAGTTGTTCTAGCAGGCAAGGGCTCACAGCCTGTTTAAGGGCATGAAACACTGGAACAAATGTAAGCCAGGCCCCAAGAAACACAGGGCCAAGAGGTGATCAGCCAGGATTTCTGATTTCTGGAGATGGTTATCTTCAGAGACTTGGAAACTGATGAAGAGGATGATAAAACAGCCAAGGCAGAGGCAGCAAAACCCAGGCCAGCCCAAGACCCGCCCCCCCCCCCAGGGAGCTTGGTGGTCACAGCCGAGACACTGGGCCTGGGAGGACGGGTTCCAAGCCGGGATGGGGAGGCTAAGATTGGTTTCTAGGCGTGGAGTGCTGCTGGGCTGGGTTCCTGACAATGGCAGGCTGAGTGTGAGGGGCTTGCTAAGAGCTAGCAAATCGTAGAGGCTCAAATTAAGGAGGTTCATGGTTAAATGATCACACACACAGAAGCCCATCGCACATCTGTACTCCTGCGACCCCAGGAGGCTACTTACTGGTCACTGTGCTGGTGCTAAGTCTTGCAGCCCGCAGCACCTGTGTTTAGGAAAGAAAAGGCAGGTACAGGCTCACTGCTTGGCAGACCCCTGTAGGGTCCACTGAGCAGGCAGATTTCTTAAAAAAAATCCATCCTACCTCTGGTTTACTCTTAGCAACAGGGAATCAGATAAATGGTAGTAACTTTGAGCACCTGACAAGGCTTAGCAGCTAGGCCCACTAAACTGGAAGGAACCTGCCCCAGGAAGGCCAGACAGACGTCCTTACGGCGCAATGATGCTCTCCAAGCATTTCTCAGGGGGAAATGCAACGTGCGGCAGCTGCAAATAAACTGCTTGATGAGAATTTACTTGGCCTACTAGGATAGAACAAGATAATGTGCCTCCCTAAATGTTGGCTGTCAACGTCTTTTGAAAGGCAGAGAACATTTCCACTCCCAATAGCTTTTCGCCTACAAATATCTTCTGTCACCAACGCTGGATGATACAAGTCAAATAACAGAACAGTGAGCCCTTGGGGCGTGCATACTTCCCTCCCCAAACCCGCACTGCATATTTGGACTGTCCCAGAAGGCCACCAATTTTCGGCAGTCGACTTCCGTATTGGGGTGGTGGCACCAACCCCCCAAGCCAAGGTGAACGCTCTGAGGAACGTCTGCCAAGCTGCAGCAAACGGGGGTCCCCAAGTGTGAGCAGTTTAGGGGCTCAGGGAAGTAGAGTCAGGAGCCAAGACTAGGCACAAACGTTTGACAAGTCGCAAGCAGCTAGGACTGATTTTACTTCTTACCTCTCCTCATACCTCGCGGACTGACTACCCTGAAGGTGGCAAGGCGTGCACCCTGGGTTACAGCCCCCAGCCTCACCCCTCTCTCGGCCCGTCCCACCTGCCCAGCCCGGCGCTGCAGCAGTCGCCCGACCCGGCGCAGGCCACGCCCACTCACCGCTGGGACCACGCCTCTCAGCACGCGCCGCCTGCCGGCGCCCCGCCTCCCGGCCGTCACGTGACAGCCTCGCCCTGCTCGCGCGCGCGGATTGGCCCTCCTGCCGCGGGGGGCGGGACCTGGAGCCGGGCACAGCCCCCTGAGCCGGCTGCAGTTTTCAAACCTCAACTGTAAGCTCGGGTCCGGGTCGGTGCGTCCGTCGCCCGGAGTCACCTCACTTGGGGGCCAGGTCGTCCGCGTCGGCTCCCGTTCGCACCTCGCCATCCTGCCGCCCGCCCGTTGCCTCGCCCGGCCAAGGCTGGAGGAAGCGTTCTGTCGCGGCTTGTGGCGTGGGGCGGGACGGGAGCCCCCTCCACGGGGGCAGCCTCGGGACCACCTGCTGCTGCCGGAGAGGTGGGTGTCGCAGCCTCGCGCGTCCGTGGGCTCGGGGCGGCGTGGCCGAGGCGGCGGCGGGGAGGGAGCAGGGCGTGCGCTCGGACCCCGGGGTTAGCGGGGCCGGACTCGGTCCCCTCAGGTGAGCCAGCTGCTCCGGGCCGGCCGCCGGGGCTGGCTGGTGGTCTTCCCGGCGGCCGGCCCGGTCCACGCCGCGTCCAGGTGGTCCTCCAGGGACCCGGGACGCGTTCAGTCGGGGCTGGCGGACGCACCCTGCTCGCAGCTGGCGTTCCTAGTCCAGACCAAGTTTGCGCCCACCCGTGGCGCAGGACACTTTAAGGCACAGCTTGTGAACAGTTTTCTGTTTTGTTTTGAACACTAGTCATAGGGAACAAGTTGAAATGCAGCTGTTGCAGGGATGTTTCGGCGATTCGATATATTTATTTAAAATACTGTAGACAAGGCATGTGTTTGTACCTGGACCATCTTCAAACTGTACTGCCTGTGAGTTTGACGCTTACCCGGGTTTTTGGGTTTTTTACGATAGGGAAAAAGCTCCTCACTGAGCGATTACGTGTAAAGTCTCTTTCAGAGACTTTATCGCAGCTGGAGGCTGGGGCTAGTGCTTCCCATGGGTCCCTAATGGGACTGCAGACGCTCCAACATCAGTTTGCACGTTGAAATTATGGAGAAAAGTGCATTTTTAACCCCAGCCACCGTGCAGATCAGATTCCAAAAATATTTACACACATTAGATGCACGGGTCCGGGTCACCAATTGTTTTGCCTACGTCATGTTTGACTCTGGTACCCATGATAAGACCGAAGCTTGCCGGGATGTGTGATATGGCGTGGCCCCTCCAAGTTTCCAAGTCTGAGAAAATATGAGCATGGGCCAAGGAAACGACTGGGCAAGCGCCGGCATGTGAGATCTGGCATTTTGAATCTGAGAGCACAGCTAAAGAGAAAGATAAACCTACTTTCTCATCGATACACCAGTCTACAGTGTATAATTAGTTTCACCAACTTCTACAGTATTAGCTTTATGATCATTAAATGATCATTAAAACATTCGCACATAGAGAAGATTACATAGTGTTTTGAAAGCTGGGATGTTGCTATCAATAGCTGTTTTATTCATGAAACACCCATTTATACATTTTAGCTCATTTTTCTAACATAGGAATCTAAAATTGAAGTAAAATATTTTTACAGACATGATAGTATCTTTTTTAAAAGTCAGTTTTCTGTAATAATTTGGAGTCCTTGTGTGTACATAGAATGGTTGGGATCATTGATTGGCGAGCTGCAATTTGAAGAAAACAGAATTGCTTTTATGGAAGTGGAGATTTGCTGATCACACCCAGCGTGTGAGTAGCAACTTTGAAAAAGGTGCATTTTCTGGTTCCCATTTCTCACCAGACAATTTTGGTTTTGAGCTTGTACTGAGAATGTTTGACTGCTGTTAGGTGAACCTTTAAGTATATTTTAGTAACTTTGTTTTAAAGCAGCCTGATTCTTAATAGGGAAGGATTTTCTTGTCAAAACTTCCTCTATTTTAGTCTGAGAGGTTCAGTTAAAAGTCCGGAAATCCAGGAAATCAGTGACTAACACTTTCACCCAATCCTGCATCCCACGGGCAGCCTTGAACCGCATGTGCTAGTATGTGGTGGTGCCTGCTCCCTGTATGCAACACTGGCTGCTGAAAAGAACAGTGCTCCTAGACCCGGTGCTCTCAAAGGGTTCTGATCGATTCTTAATTTTTGTAAAAAAATTCTTTTGGGTTCTGTGAGAGTTCATTATGTCAAAAATATTAACACTTAGGTACTACCTTTCCTCTTGGGAAAACTTCAGATCTGTTCAGTTGCTTTTATTTTCCATGAAACTGAAGGCAATGATGTTGTTTTTAAATAGTTTGTCTACTGTGTCAGACCATTATCAAAGGATATTTCTTTGAATGTTTCAGAGAAGAAACGTTCTTACAAACTAAGTCACAAGCACATATTGATATCTACGTTGCTATTTTCAAGGCATGTCTTATGTAAATTTTTTTTAACTTATGCTTTTTGTTTAACCTGGAACTTCCCCGCCATCTTAAAAATGGAAGCCAGGCAGTGTCTCTTAATAGTTCTGTGTACATTTGAGGTTCATCTCAGACCCTTTATAATTGCTCCAGAAGAGGACAGCTTTCCTTTAAGCATTGACACAATTTTAGTGGTGAGATGACAGCTTCTTCTTTAATTCTTAGAGTCAGATTCCATTTTGTATTGTAGTAGTTACTGAATAAATAGTAGTTCAGTGGTGCTATTAAGTAAATAGTAATCTATTTTATAGCAGAAACCAAATTTTCCATCTCACAAATGGCAACCACTGTGTGTTTGTTGGCCCACTGTATTTCCGTTTTCCAACATCTTTTTTTTTTTTTTATTCTAGCTCACAATTATAGGGTTTAATTCCTTTTCTAAAGATGCAAAGAGACAGCGGCAGGCTTTCCTGGCTTGGCACAGTCAGGCCTGGGTTCATTGCCTGGCACTTCTGCTCTCAGATAGTGTGATCCAGGTAATTGGACTAAAATCTGTTAACTGGTTTCCTGTTGTGATTTTCAGGGGATTAAATCTTTCAGTTACACTTTCTGTTTGATATATAAGAAAACATGAAGATAAACATGTATGTTAGTAAAATACATACAAGATGTCTTCAGAGTTCATGGAAGCATGTTATAAAAACACTTTGCATGAGTTTAAAATTGTTTTTCACCAAATAAACTTACCATTTAAGTCCATTTTCCATGAACTTTTTATTTAAAGTATCGTCACATTAGAAATGAGGGCTTTTAGCTGAAATTGAAAATCATTATTATCCCTACACAAATGCCATTGCTTCTAATCAATGACTACTTCAAAATGGATTGTTCTTCCACACCAACAGAAAATTCTTCATTTTATTTTGATGAATGCAAGTTAAAGTACATCTTCAATTCCTCTGGTTCTTACAGGAGACTTGGTAGTAGTCTGTGAAGAGAAAAGCTGTGTCCTCACTCTCTTGGAACTGACTTGGTCTCCACAGCCTTTCACGTTTTCTTCCCACAGGTCTCGATGAATGAGGCCTCACTAAACATGTGTCTGACATTCCTAACTGAGGTACCCCTTTGAACAGATACCACCTAGTATAGAAAGACGATTAAATATAAAAGTGTTCGTTTATGTTATAGTATACTAAAATCATAATATATAATACAATAGTTTTAGCCAGGTGTCCAGACTTTGTGGCTACCCTATTTTGAATTGAGTTTCCTTAATAAAAATTTAAAATCCTTTTGTATTATTTAGCCAAATACTGAGTTAAGCAGAGACAAGCTGTGTCTGAAACTCCAGTACTGCGCTTCCACACAGATCACAAACTCTGCTCACCTCTTAGAGGAACGGATGTACCTAAAAAGTATTTGTGCCATATCTCATGACTTTTCTGATTCAGGTTGTCAAACATTTGTTGCTGCTGTCTAATTAACTCCTGGTACCAGACACAGTGCCGATGGCTTGAGCACAAGCTTACTGTCCTTCATATATCAGACGGAATTGCTTTCTTCTGTGGCAACTGTGGAGACGAATGCTGGGGTCCTCTTGCTGAAGTATGAAAAGGGAGGCGTTTTAGTCACTTGCAGGGGCGTTAGGAAATGCTTCCTGGGAGAGATGCCATCCGGTATTGAGATATGAAGGCTGTGTGGCAGTGTTGGTCGCTTAAGGAAAAGTAGAAATGGTGTTTCAGGCAGAGAAGTATAACAAAATGTGGTAGCATAGTCGGAGATATAAAGATGGCAGGAAGTGAAGTTAGTGTTTACTCAGCTACAAGACTCCTTCTATGTCATGCGGTAAGGCCTTTAGCTTCTCTCACTCCCTCTGCCTTCCGAGTAAAATAAATAATCTTTTCAAGAAGGACTTCAGCTTATAGATAAGTAACTGGGGGTGAATTAAGGAATCAAAGTAGACAATTTAGTTCTCTCGGCATTCTCATGATTATATATACTATATTTTTCTTGGATAACTGAAACGAATATCATGATGAGTATGTACTAAAATACAACTATGTGGAGGTCTATGGGAACTCACTGGTTTTCTTTTGATTGAATCATGTTTGCTTTCTCTGTTTGAGTGAGTTGTGGAAGACCCAGATCAAGTCTAAGGTTTAATTTTAAAAATCATGTATTCATTTGAAAGGCATGCTAACAGAGAAGATCTTCCATATAAGCTGTTTCAATGTCCAAATGCCCACAGCAGGCTGTGCCAGGCTAAAGCCAACGAGACAGTCTCATTCTCTGCTCCTCATCCCACTTGCGCTTGCTCGCTCACTCACTCACTCGCGCTCTCTCCCAGCCTCCCACGTGAGTGGCAGAGGCCCAAGCACATGGGCCTTTGCCTTACACTTTTGCAGGTACATTAGCAGCGATCAGGATCTCAAACAGCCAGGGCTTGATATGGATTTCCAGTGTCCTAAGTGGCAGCTTACCATGCTATGCCACAGTGCTGGCCCCAAATCCAGGCTCTCATTCCTTTTTCCCTTTACTAATCACCTTATAACTTATTGTGATAATTGTTTTGGTGGTTAAATCAAAATAATCTTTGAAAATAAAAGTGCTGTTATTCTTAGTACCTGTGCAATTGAAAACTTCGTTGTGTCTTACCGTTATTAACATTTTGCAAATTTTCTAGTTTTTCCTTCTGCTTCTTTTTATGCTTTGCCATAGAATGACCATATTAGATGTAAAGTTCTGTATCTTCCTTTTTTTTTTTATTTACTACTGAACTAGAGTCTTTGAAAGCTTAATTTTCTTATTGAATGTATACTATTCTATTATTTAGATGTATTTAGCTGTTTGCTAACTATTGGACTTAAGGCTTCACAAATTCAATAAATCCTGGAAACTGTTTTCACTCTTTTAAATTATACTTCACTGAACACAAATTTTTGACTATAACCAAGATGCCCATATTGAATCTTGAAAAACTCGAAGTAGAAAATGCTTATTTATAAAGTATATCTTAGTTTTTTAATACATTCCAAAATCAATGGATATATTATAACATAGGGTAAATATTTTAGAATCTATAATTTACAAGAGTGAAAATTGAGAACCAAAATCCCACATATTCTCTGTATGATTCAGTTGGCATCTTGTTGTTCTGCTTTCTGAGGCCTAAAGAAGTGTTGAGGATGTAGTCCAACTGGAGTCATAATATAGGCCCGTTTTACATGTAGAGAAATGCTGTGCATGTAAAATACACATCTTATCATAAACAGATGGTGTATTCATAGACCTTTTAATCGGTGGGAAAAAAGCCTTAAAAGCCCAGTGATAATCTGAAAAAAAAATTATTTGAGCATAGAAATTTGTATCCTTATTGCTTTTTCAGAGAAATATGTGACCAATGACTCTTGAGTGCCATCAGAACACATGAAAGAAACTGTTGTTAACAAAAAAATTTTTTAAAAAATTCAGTTTTGGGTTGGGAACATTTGCATGTGGAAATTGTGCAACTTCTCAACAGTGGCACGAGATGCCAGTCAAGAGAGTATTTAGAAAGCATCTTTGGGCGGAATGTTAGTATTTTCTTTGTGGAACCATCGAGATGTGCTCTCATGAGTAGCACTGTAGCAGTGGCTTTCAACATTGAGTTCATCGTCTTTTAAGTTTAACCCTTAGAAATGCGCAAGATTGATTTTGTTATCATCCAGACTTTAAAATTGACATAATTAAAGCGTTTTGACTAGTAATCAGTGGAGTGTAAAATAAATAGCATTAAAATTTCATTCTACTGTCATCACAATATAAGAATCATACTTTTTTTATTATGAAAGCATATCAGAATATCAGAAATTCTTATTTGCTAATATTACAAAAATCAGGGGCCAGCATTACGGCATAGTAGGTTAAGCCACCTGTGGCACCAGCATCCTGTATGTGCATTAGTTCAAACCCCAGCTAGCTGTTCCACTTGTACGACTACATCTAGGAACACAGCTGAGATGGCCCAGGTACTTGGACCTCTGCAGCTATGTCCTGGCCCTGGTCCAACCCTGGCCATGGTGAGCATTTGGGGAAAGAACCGGCTGCTGAAAGATCTGCCTTTCTCTTTCTACCTTTCTTTTTCTCTCTTTCCCTCTCTATTCCGTTTCTGTAACTCTGCCTTTCGAAATAAGTATTTTAAAAATATGTTCGTACAAAAGTAGTTTGGATGTTTAAACTGCATACTTACAAATATTATAAATTTCCAGATAAATATGAGCTTCAGTTATAGATTCGAATTTTAGAATAAGACTCAATCACCCATCCAACACAATTATTGAGCTCTTTAACCATGGCAGATTTTGTGTTAGAGTCGGCCATAGGAAAAACTCTTAAGACTTACATATAACAGCTTCTGCATTTAATATGAAATCTAGTGAGTTCAAGGAACAAGTTGTATTTCTTTAGTCACTCATGCATCAGTAGTGTAATATAACATATGAGTTTACCACTAACTTCGTATATGTAAAATTAAATGAGTAAATATTACCTTGTTATTTAACTTGCCTAATTATGTAATGGTTTAAAGAACTAAGTTTATGAAGAATGTGTTTTATTTTTAAGTGAAATGTTTGCATTATAGCTTTATTGTAAGTATTTTCAGGAATTCGGGAAGGTTTTCACAGTTGTTTTCTGGATGGAGTTAGCAGCCTCATTCAAGTGCTATGGTGGTCATACTCAATGCTTTGTAGGCCTTTTTGTTCCTTCCTCGCCAGTAGAGAGGTAGTCTCTAATCTTTTTTCTTGTTTGTAGTTGTATCTTTAGCTAGATTTGGAGATGTGCATGCATTTCCTGCCCAAGATAGCTGTGGTTTTTTTTTTAATTGTATTTTAAGTTACTTCGTCTATCATCTTTTTTTTGTTTTTAGATAGGTGAAAATAAGTGAGAAAAAGCATATCTGAAAATCACCTAACATGTCACGGAGAAGATTTGATTGCCGAAGTATTTCGGGCATGCTAACGACAGCTCCTCAAACCCCAATGAAAATGGAAAACTTTAATAACTTCTATACACTTACATCCAAAGAACTAGGAAGGTAAGGAAACTATAATACGTATAGTATTTAAAACCCACTATGATATGTATAGTGTTTTGTTTCTATAGTTCTGTAAAACTCAGTGTGGTTCACTAAGAATGATCAAAAAGAAAAGTCATCACCTAATTTCTTAGGCCTTTGTGAGCTTGTGTTGCACATCTAACCCACGGTCAGGGTTCCCAATTGGAAATCTGGGTTCTTGATTTGAGGCTGTGAGTGGGAACAACTTGGCCTTGTGAGCTGCTGAGTACAGTTCTGGTCCCATCATTTACTAATTGAGTGACCCCGTTTAAGTTACTGCACCTCCTGGTCCAATTGTTTTCTTATCTGAGAGTGGACAAAGGTGTAATGGTATTATCATACATGGTTGTTGTGGGGATTAAGTTAGCTTATCTTTGTAAAATACATAGTAAAGTCTGTAAAGACTTTTGTTATGTGATATTTAAAAATTTCTTAGGCTATTGTGTTGGGCTACAAAAGGAAAAGGAGAAAGAGATTGTCCTATTCTGTATACAAAAATAATTCGTATTTCTTAGTATATTCTTTATCATGATGAATAAGTGTTCTGCAAGTAAAACTCTACAAAATCTGTTAGGGCTTAACTAGAGCAAGGAGTGATCCATTACTGTGTGATCATTTACACTATTGTTTTATCATGTGATGATGTAATAAAACCGAACGTTTTACAGTTCTGTATTTGTTAGATTTTATACTTCAGATTAAGAAGGATTAGAAGATTTGATTTTATTTGATTTGACTTGCTTGACTGATTCAGTTTGATTTTGGTTCTGGAGTTAAATCTTTCAGCTTACATTAATAAAATGGCTAAGTTCTTATTTATTTTGGTAGATTTACAGTTAGACATAATAATTGACTTTTTATCTTTGAAAATCTGAATGTGAAAACAAAAATCTACTAAATCATGAGATATGATTCTGCTTTTTCTGATGTTTTATCATAACAGCCAAGGTAAGTCCTGGATTTTTCACTTTGCAGATAATGGGTACAACATTTAGAAGTAAATGTAGAAACATTTTATAATTTATTGTATATTAATGTATTTGATTTTGAATGTAAAACGCTTGGATGTTTTAATTGTGTTAACAAATGCACTTTAGAATGTCTGTGATCATTGATCTTCTAATAAAAGTTTTTCACAAAGTTCAGTACTTGTTCCTATAACCTCTGAAGACTGTTACCTTGCTCGGTATGAATGCTTCAGTGATAGGGAACTCCCTCTCAACAAGTGTCTGTTCCATTTTATGAGTACTTATTGGGCACTGAAGACTGTTTTCTGCTCTACTAACATTGCACAGTAGACATGGTTTTTTGGTGGTTATATTTTATGTGAATTCATATGCAGTCCTTCTTTACATATAGCGTGTACATATTGCTAACTTCTGCTGGTTTCCTTAAATTATCATCCTGTGAAAGCCTGCCCTGATGCAGTTAACCTCTTCTAGATCTCTTTGTTACTTTCTTTTTTTAAAGATTCGTTTATTTGAAAGGCAGATTTACAGAATGAAGGAGAGACAGAGATCTTCCAGCTGCTGGTTCACTTTCCAAATGGCCACAAAGGCTGGAGATGAGCCACTGCAAAACCAAGAGCCAGGAGCTTTAATCTGGGCCTCTCATACACATGCAGGTTCCTAAGGGCTTGGGCCATCTTCTACTGCTTTCCCAAGTCATAAACAGTGAAGTGGATGGGAAGTGGAGCAGCCAGGACATGAACTGGTGTCCATATGGTGTGCTGGCACGAGCTAGGAGAGGATTAGCCTATTGAGCCGCTGCACCAGCCCCTGTTTGCAGCAGACTTTTGACCTAACAGTTAAGAGGCAGGCTAGGATACCGATGTACCATATTGGAGTTCTTGGATTCAATACCTGGCCCATCTCCTCACTCCCGTCTTCCTGCTCCTGCGTCCTCTGGAAGTCAGCTGTGATAGCTCAAGTGAGGAGATCCTTGCTGGGCTCCAGGGCAGCCTGGCTCCAGACTCAGGCTCCAAAGGGGGCTGTTCTGGATACTTATGCACATGGTGGATGGGAGTCCTCTTCTCTCTCTCTCTGTCTCTAGTAAATCAATATATATTCTTTTATTTGGAGCACAGTATTGTCAGTATTTTACTATTTAGCCTGCAATGCATCTTTATTGAGATAGCCTGAGATTTCCATTAAGAATAAGCAAATTACTTTTTATTACTCCCTTTGCTTCCTTCTTAAATTTTACCTCCGCTCCCCTAGCCCCTAGAAAAAGCCACATTGCATTCATGTCATTTGGTATCATGTGATATGTTAGTAGAAACTGACTGAATTGACCTGTCATTTCACTGGATCTAAAGATCTGTGATCCTACTTGGATGTGTGATTTTCTTTTTTTAAATGAGAGAATAGACTGTGTCTCCAAGTTTTCTTATATGTTGCAACAATTGTTTGGAAATTGCTTTGAGCAGGTAATTGAATATGGCAATCCTTGAGTAATACATATAACAAAAGAAAATATTGTCTTTTAAAGTTATTTTGATAAGCAACTTATGTTTATTAAGTTTATTATGGAATGTAATAAGAAACTAGAAATTTTATAAAATATTTTTTCTATGAGGGCTTTAGAGAATTGTAACTTTTCATGAACACTAATAATGTAGAATTGTCTTAAATAAGGTGTCATAAAAATTATGAACTTGAATCAGTTGTATTTTTTATTAGCCTTTTAGAGCAAAAACTCCTTATATAAAATCTCATTTAAACATTTGGATTGTTAATATCCCATTTTGTCTTCATGAAAGAGCCCTAAGTAACGATTTTCTTTGACTTTCTACAGCCTAAATAATCATGTAACAAATATTAGTATATTTAACTTAAAAATTAGTAGACCTTGATAGATTTAAAACCGTGTCTATTTATCTGCAAAAACTTGCTGCATATTCTGTGAATATTGCTACTAAGCTTAGTTTTTCAGACTTGTGAAATGGAGATTGTAATCATAATCTTGTTTCTCATGATGTTTGCACATTTTGAAGTATTTTAGTGTGGGGTGAAGTGTACAATTATCTTTGTAAATCGTTGTCCAAGAATCTATTTTCCCTTAGCAAACTAAAGGAAAATGTGTGCAAATTAACAGTTCATCATCTACTATTCCCAAAAACCTTGCCTGGCTCCTGTTTCTTAACATGTTGGGTGAATGTTTTCCACCCCGCCCCCAGCAGAAGCAAGCTTTCACAGGGCTTCTTGTGGTTAGGAGGGAGGCAGATTCAGAAATAAACGTCAGCTTCCTTTGTGGTTTACCTACCCCCTCCCTTCACATTTTATTGTGTGTTCTAGAATGCAGAAGGGTAACTGCGAGACCTTTTCACTGCTGGGAAATCTCACCAGCCTTGCCTTTTTAGGGCATGAATTAAGTATTATTCTTAAGAGGTTTGCATTTTCCTGTATGTTTCTGTTACCTTTCAGACAGAAACATTACATAGCAAAGATTATTTCTGATACCTCTAAACTAAAGCTTGCACTTTAGAATAAAATAAAAATCACTTCCCTATGTTATATGTTCTTTATAGCAAAAATATTTACCTTATTTATACCATGTAAAGGAATACACAATTAAATGCATATAACTTTATTGGAATCTCAAATAGCCTTTTAAAAATGCAAATGCTTTTACGCACTGGATGCAAAATTGCACAGAATATGGTGTTATAGAAGATAAGTGACCCCGGCATTCAACAGATATTCCAGTTCCTGTTGTACGTCCATAAACAGATTTGCAACTGCTGTAGCAAGTAACACAAACACAAATGCTGCTTCCATGGAACTTTACATATTGGTGAACATTGACATGTTATTATCAGGATCAGTTCCTCATCTTTGCCTAGGATTAGTGTGTACCATGCTTGTTTTATAAAGTACCTGAAACAATTAGATAAAGGGTTATGTTCTTTAGCTTTTCTGTTTGTTTCTCAGAGAATTCCAGCTTGTTAGATTACTCATAAAAGCATAGCCGAAGGAAATTGCCACATTGATATTGTAAGCATTTTTTTCAGATGCATAATTTTCTTTTTGTTTCCTAAATTTTGCAAGGGGAATTTCCTTATAAAAGTTAAAATTTATTCTTCTACTTTAACCAAGTTTTTACTTCTAAATCTCAGTAAAAATTGGCAGAATTTAATAAGTTAACTTTCTTTAAAAAAAAAGCAGCAATTCAGAAGGACAGGATTGTTTTTTAGTGGTTAGAACAAAAAGCTAGGAATTTGCATTCCACAGATTAATTTTTGGCCCTCCTTTTCCAAATATGACTTTTCATGAGGTTTTTAATCTTACTCTGATTCAGTTTATCTTGTATAAAATTTGTAAAACACCATTTTGATATAAAGAGACTAATTTTTGTATATTCATTGAAATATATCAATTTGTGTTCTTTTTCTATAGAGTAAGACTATTTTATAGCAAAACATTTTTAACTTAAAGCATGACTGCTTTCAAAGCATTAGATTTATATTGGCAAATTTATTGAATTTATGTACACTTTTTATATACCTAGAAGTCAAATTATAACTTGTTTTTTTTAACTTCCCAGCTATAATTTTTTTAGTATTGCTTCCAGTGATTTTCATTGAATGTAAGGGAAAAAAAAGAGTTGGAATCTTTGAAATCTTAGTCTGGGGGAATAGCAGTAAAATACTATGAAGTAATTAATTCCCCGTCACTCACCCTAAGCATCAAGTGGCTTAGAAACAGTTTTGCTTGCCAAGTATGATAAGCTGGGTTGGTGGCATATTCTGGGAATAACTGAGATACAAAGAATGGTGGAATAAAAGTTACTCTCTTAAGATCTTTATTAATACTTCATTTGTTAGTTACAGAAATTAGGAAATAAGTTGAGCCTTCAGATAGGAATTCTTAGCCTTGAATCCCCTAGACTAAGGATTAGAAAACTTAAAGATGGGCCTCAAAATCTATTGCATGTAAAACTTCCTGCTTAAAGGAAGGTGCACTTGTTTTATGTAGATGGTCAATAGCTTTATTAAAATTTCTCAAAAATCGTCTGTGACTCATAATAGTTTTAAGCATTTGAGCAATTAAATTTTGGCTAACTTGGGCCCGGCACAGTGGCCTCATGGCTAAAGTCCTCGCCTTGAACATGTCGGGATCCCATATGGGCACTGGTTTGTGTCCTGGTAGCTCCACTTCTCATCCAGCTCCCTGCTTGTGGCCTGGGAAAGCAGTTGAGACCCAAAGCCTTGGGATCCTGCACCCGCATTGGAGACCTGGAAGAAGTTACTGGCTCCTGGCTTCAGATAGGCACAGCACCTGTCATTGGGTTACTTGAGGAGTGAATCATAGGATGGAAGATCTACCTCTCTGTCTCCCCTCCTCTCTGTATATCTGACTTTCCAATAAATAAATCTTTAAAAAATTTTTTTTTGGCTAACTGTAGGCCTGTCATTTATGAATATGCCAGTGGAAGCTCTAATATTTGGTATCTTTTTATTTTGGAGAATTGCTGTTGGAGAGAGCTATAAACATACTTGTAACTTAAATGATAACCATCACTTTGATAAGTGTGTTTGTACAAATGTGTCAGTGCCTTATTAGTTGTTGATGTCTTAGCTGATCATGAGATATCCTTGAATGTCCCCTAAGGGAAGCATAGCCTTAGGTACCAAAACTGCTGTCAGATCGCCTGGAAGGTTTTAAAGCTTGTTACAAATTATAGTAAAAGGGAAAATTACCACACTAATAAAGTATGTCAAATGGCTATTTTGTTGCATTTATTTCAATTTTTATATTTGTGGAAAAGCTGTTTTGATTAGAGAGCTAATTTTGTCCTTATGAGTAGTAGTCTTTGGAAAAACTTAAGTTTAAATCTTTATCTTGACCAAATTATTTATCCTTTTTTGGGGGTTCGCAAAACAAAACAACAACAAAAATTTGTACTATGTGGAATTATTATGATATTTACATACAATAATTTATATCAAGAATATGGTATGGACTTACTATACAAATGAGGTTATTTCCCTATGATGATAATGTTTTGTATTAACAGTGAAGAATAAAGATAGATCTGTATTGTCTTGTTATTATGTATGGCATTTACAATTTTATGTGATAATAACCATTAATTTTATGAAGAGACATACACGGAGGGATACATTTGTTCTTTTTGACTATGATGCCTGTTGGAACCCTTCTATCACATGTTGGAATGCATAGATTTCAGTCCTGCTTTTGCTTCAATTTTCAGATTTTTCTGCCATGAACCATGGTAAGCAAGGAAAATAATTGCTCAGATGGTTAGTGCCTGCCACCCGTGTGGTAGAGCTGGGCAGAGTTCCCGGTTCCTGGATTCAGACCCAGCAGATGCAGACATTAAGGAACCAGAGGAAGGGAGCTTTTTGCCTGTCATTATTACATATATACTTTTTTTAAATTGTAAAAATATATATATGACAATTTATTTTGGGAAAAAAACAAATTCCTAATGGTACTAATATTTAAAGGCATTGATTTTAAATTAAACATATAGTAGAATTTTATTATACTAGCATTATTCTCTATTGAAATATTGAAATTGTCCTTATTTTCTTCCACCCTCAGAGGAAAATTTGCTGTGGTTAGACAGTGTATATCGAAATCCACTGGCCAAGAATACGCGGCAAAGTTTTTAAAAAAGAGAAGAAGAGGACAGGACTGTCGGGCGGAGATCCTGCATGAGATCGCCGTGCTGGAATTGGCCAAGGCCTGTCCCCGCGTGATAAATCTGCATGAGGTCTATGAAAATGCAAATGAAATCATTTTGATACTGGAATAGTAAGTAGACATTTTGATGCATAAGTACATCTAATACATTTAAGGAGATTAAGTAAATGTATTTTCAATACTTTAAGTTCCTTTGAAATGTTAGTAAGAATGGAGAAGCTGTTTCATGAGAAAGAATGTAACTCACAAGAAATGATATTTTTGTCTCCCTGTCTGAAACACGCTTCCAAGTAAAAAGGCAAATTGTATCATGGTATGCTAGTACATTGTTAAAGAAATATACTTAGTATTTATGATGTGCAAGTCACTGTTTAACAAATTGTTGTAAAAAGAAGCAAAAAATATCTCTTGCCGTAAGGGAAAAACTGGAAACAAAAATATCTAACAAATCATGGAGGGATGGGAATAGAGGATGGTTAAGGTAACTACATGTTTAATCATGCCTGTATTGCGTGGTTGTTGGATACATTATTTATTATTGTGTTTGAATATCTACATTGGTTAGACAATATCATCATGTGTATGTTTAGTATTCTTATGTTCAGATAATTTTAAAATAAACATCTTACAATAAATTTAAGTAGATTCATGGTTTGGTTAATTAACTAGCAAGTCACAATTATTAAAAAATAAAAAATCATGTTTTAATTAATTGGCTCTCATCTATTTCTGCCCCCTTTTTTTGTGATCAAATTGTCCTAAATTTAATGGTGGTAAATTTATTAACAGAAGTATGGGACAGGCTGAGTACAGTGAAGTAGCGGAGTTACCACCTGGGCGCCCCCACATCCGCTTTTAAAGTTCCTGATTCTAGCCCTGGCTTCACTTTCCAGTCTTCTTCCTGCTAATGGGCACCCTAGCAGTCAGTGGGTGATGTCTAATGTACTAGATTCCCATTTTCTACCTGAGACATCTGGGTTGAGTTTCTGGATTCTGTCTTTGGCTTAGTTCATCCCTGTCTTGGTTTCATCCTTGGTGCATTCTCTCTGGCTCTTTGCTTTTCAATTCAAAATGTAAATAGTAAAAGAAAAATCAGAAGTTTAGCAGCAGAGTGCACTTTCGGACTACTACCTCTGTCCTTTTGGTATGGTCTTACTAGTGTTTGAAGATTTCTTTGCTTCATGCACACGAGATTTCCAGGGTCACTTCATAGGTGCAATGCCCTGCAAGTTCTGGTTCTTTTTAGTGGGGAATGGTAATTAGAAACCAAAATATTTGTATTGGAATGCTCACTTTTAATAAAGTGTCATTGTTTCAAAGTCTTTACCAAGAATAGTGTTAGAAACTCTTGATTTTTTTATTGCAAATTCATACTGATAGATCTAGTTCAAGTCTACCACTTTCTGATTGTTCAACATCTCTTACCTTCTGTACTTGTATCTCACTTCTCCCACAGTGAAAACAATAGTTCATTTGCCTTATCCAAAAATATGTACACAGTAGTGGCAGAATACCAGTTGCACACTACTAAGTAAATTTCTATTCTTTTTACCCTTAGTATATAGCCCACTAAGGCTATATAGTCATACATTTGTTTCTGATTACATTAATCATTAGAATCTGGTTCCTTAAATCCTTTTTTATTTTATTTTGAATTTGTAAAAAAACATTAGCATGAATCAGTGCTCAGAAAGCTATAAAAATGTGTTTTACAAAATGTGCTTACATTCTTGTACTTTCTTCAGTCTTCCTTCCCAACTTTCCTAGGTAACTGCATTTGCTTATTTCTGGTTCATTATTTTACATTCTCTTTCTTGTGAATGTGAGTGAATTTTTATAAACTTATGTTTCCTCTCCTAAGAAAAAGTAGCATATAATAAGTATCCCTTTTCACCTTTCTTTTTAGACTTACAATATCCTAGAAATAGTCCTATTAGCTCATAAGCTTCTTGGTATCATTTACTATGGCTGATTATTAAATGACTGCTTACTATTCCATTGGATAGTTGGATTGTGTTTTATTCAGATGAGTTTTCATTGTTGAGCATTTTTTGTGGCATGGTAGCACTTGTACACTTTGTGGAGGTATGATTGCTGGGTTAAGGAGCATATGTATTTGTATTACATGTTGTTAAGTTTCCCTCCATAACAGTGACATACTGTCATGTTAAAAAGGTACCTTTTAAAATTTGTCGCATTTGATAATCGTAGGAATCTGTTTGAAACTTTCAGAACTACAGCAGCTGTCAAGTAGTAATATTTTGAATAGGTGATAATATTTCATTTGCATTTTGTTTTGCCTCCAACTTAACCTAACCCTATTTTTTGAACCAAATTAAGTAACTTACATTTTGGTGAATTAAACTTAAAATCTTACAGTTAGCTTGTCACTCTTAAGCAGTTACTAAAATTTTTCACTTGTATCTTTTTTTGGAGAACATGGAACAAAACTTTGTCCTAGAAATAGCAAGCCTCAAAAAGGGAACTTGCTTCCATTCACCAGAGACAACTCTGTGAGATAGTGTGAGAAATTGTATTTCCTTTTTTCAGGAAATTACAAAACTTGCCTATCAAATAATCTGACTATCGTACTAACCCAACAGAAAATGATCGTAATTGTGACTAAAGGTACAAAATGGAAAACCTCACCTCCTGTAATAATTTCAACCTCTGAGCACTATAATTTAGCATTATCTTCTATGAAGGGTATGTTTCTTAAAACTGAATTTTAACTTAGCCAAGACTTTGTGAATTCTCTTGAAAAGCAGAGTCAAATTCAGAGAGACTAATGTTGTCTAGGCTTGGAATTAATGTATGTTGGCTTATCATATTAATAAGTAATATTCACTATTTGCCAAGTGTTAATGTTATGGATGCTTAGAAAATCTATTTTGATCCTTCATAACATTTGTTATATTTATTACTTTACATGGATATCTGATTTTTTTTAAACAAATTTATTTCTTTTTATTTAAAAGGCAGATTTATAGAGAGGAGAGACAGAGAGCAAGGTCTTTAACTTCTTGTTCACTTCGCAAATGGCTGCAATGGCCAGAGCAGAGCCAATCTGAAGCCAGGAGCCAGGAGCTTCTTCTGAGTCTCCCATGTAGGTGCAGGGTCCCATAGCCTTGGGCCATCGTTCTCTGCTTTCTAGGGCCATAAACAGGGAGCTGGACGAGAGGTGGAACAGCCAGGACACAAACAGGCACTTGAAAGTGGAGGATTAACCAGTTAAGCCAAGGCGCTGGCCCTAGGATTATCAATTCTTAAGCCAGTGAAGTAAGAACTATCATTTATTCATGTGCCACAGCTCATACAGCTAATTAGTGACAAAACTAGAACTGTAGTACGCACCCCTATAAGCACTCTGCTGTCCTGGTGTCATATTTTCTAGGGACTAGAAAGTAGTTTCCACGCTTTTTTCAGTTCTCTTTTTGTTTGTTTGTTTTATATTTTGTTATGAATATGAGACTTTTGGGAGGGATTTATTACTGAGTTATCTTTAGTGACTATAATGAACATGTTGGTGCATAAAGAATAAATGTAATCAGATTGTCACAAATTTATGTTGCTGTAAAATAAAATTTCAGACCTAATTTTTCTATTAGGCCAGAGGACTACCAAAGATAGTCTATATATTAATTATTTCTGAGGATTAACCAATTAAAATATTCAGTTTATGAGTTAAGGTTTCTAATTGCTATAACTTACTTTGAAAAACATACTATAAACTTAATAGAAAACCGTAATTTTCAATATTAAGATTGTCTTTACCATAATACTCAGTACAGATACTTGAATTGATTTCTCATTAGTTCTTCAAAGGGTTTTGATGTGGGATTGAAATAAATGAAAATATATGTGTCTATACAAAGGTACCTCAAAGCATTCTTATAAAAGAATGCTCTTGATTTTATACAGCAATGTGATTTTCTGTATTTGATATCAAGCTCAGTTCTCAGAATCTGACCTATTCTTATCACTTGTTTTCTTCCTTGTTTTTAAATGTGTATTTACACTAGTTGTGTATTCATCTAAATGTCCTTTTTAAGTGAATTATTTCTAAGTTTCAGTTGTTTGGATTTTATTTCAGTGCTGCAGGTGGAGAAATTTTCAACCTTTGTTTACCTGAGCTGGCTGAAATGATTTCTGAAAATGATGTTATCAGACTCATCAAACAAATTCTTGAAGGAGTTTACTATCTTCATCAGAATGACATTGTGCATCTTGATTTGAAGGTAACATGATAAGTGATTTGACTTAGCATACTATGTTTTTATTATGTATTCTGTCTTTATTATGTTATTATGTTGTAAGAAGAAGCGTTTTTCTCAGCCCTTGGTGTGCAGAAAAGAGCAGTCATATGGCCGTCTCTGTTGCACTGGGAGTGCTTTGGGCCCTGCCTGGATGCTCTCAGGGCGTAATTTTGTATTTGCAAACAGGAGAACACCATGTATGTGAGCAGCTCCAAGAACTCCTAGGCTCTTGAGATGCAGTTTTTCTGTCTTCTAACCCTATCACCATTCTACTTCCTCCCATTCTTAGAGATATTTCCTGGATCTTATTCTTTGATAAAACTGTCCACCTCTGAAACAGTTAATATCTGTCTTCAAATAATATATTTCCACATTCTTTATTCCTTTGTTCCCATTTTATTCATTGTCTTTCAACGTTTCAGTTTTTTTAGCTCTGCCTAGCTCGTTCAGGCTCCTTACCTTACTCTGGTGTTTTATCCTCACATCTTTCTTCTTACACTTCCTCCAGAGCCACACAAAGTTCTTGCAATCAATCATTTTGTCTCACACTTTTTGAGCACTGGGGTTCTTCTGCTTCCGTTATCATTTTCTTGTCTTTCTCCTCTCCTCTTTTACCCTTCTCCTCCATCGTTATCATCATCGTTACTATTATCATTATCATTATTCATGACCTATCTCTTCCTACAGCCCAGGGTTGTCTCTCAATTTCTAAATCTTCATTCCTAACTGCAAATTAGCTACTATTAGGTGCCCTTTAACACCTTTATTACTCATGTTTCATGTGTATTTCTGTATTTGGTCTCTCTGGTAGGGAAGGGGAACAGTATTTAGCACCTAACATCCCTACCATTTTCCCTATTGATAAAACACTTAAAAGTAAAAGGCAAGATCAATGATTTGATGATCATACTCCCACCAGTTCCTATTGGTTCTTTTTGCTGCTAAGGACAAACCATGTAGCTATACATAGTACTTGAAGTCAGGGACAGCATATAAATTTGAATTTATTCTATTCTAACAATAACAGCTGACAACAGAGCAAATTGCTCTAAACTTTTCTTCTGTAATGGTCTTATTTAATAATAAATCTGTTAATCCCAAGAAATTTGGAAACTTACAATTTTTTTAAACTTATAATTTTTAGCAACATTTTTAGCAACACGTAACCTGGTGTAAGGGTTTTGAAAACAGAGAAGTTTGTAATAGACCTAAAATAGTAAAGCAGAGTCCCGTGGTTCTAGGAGTCGACAGATGAAATATATCACATGCATTATTGTCAAGAATACAAACCTGGAAACAGTCATTTCCAGCTCATGCAGAACCATCACACTAAACTGAACACTTTCCTTTCTGTAAACATGTGTGTATTCATTACTTCATGACTTCTTTCATGCTATTCCCAAGAACATCTTCTGGCTGGCGTATTCCTACTTAATCTCTTAAGACTCAACATAGGAAAAAATCTCTGTAATAAATCCTTCTTGGATTTTCTTATGGACAGAGTTATGCAGAATAAATTTTTACTAATGAGTATTCTGTACATCATAGTCAACCAGTCTTTGTGTCTATCCATCCAGCTTACGTTTCCTCCAAACCCAGAATTTGTTTTTGACTTTATGGTTCACTCGCTGTATGACTCCTTCCAAAAGTAGTTGAGTAATGTTTAATGAATGCCTTAATGAAATATATAATTGCTTATTAATATAATCTGTTTAATTTACACCCAAACTGAGAAAATGCTGAGGATATAATTTTTATAACATATTAATTATTGTTTTTTTCATTATTTAGCCACAGAATATATTATTGAGCAGTATATACCCTCTTGGTGACGTAAAAATTGTAGACTTTGGAATGTCTCGAAAAATAGGGAATACCTGTGAACTTCGGGAAATCATGGGAACACCAGAATACTTAGGTAAGAATTTTTCTCTTACTTTCTATGTTACTTTGAAATCTGTTAAGAAAATGATAATTTCATAAAAATTGAAGCATATAATTCCAGGATTGATTTTGCTCAAATGTTGTGGTGTATTCAAACTTGATTTATGGCATGTTAAAATGAAATGTGGAAAATGTAGAATTGAAATATACACAACAATTCACAGTACATTGAGTATAGAAGTGCACAAGTTTATTGTTTGTGTATAAAGGCATTGTACATTTTGAAAATGAAACAGATTAGAGAGAAGCTAGGAACCACTAGAAAATGAAAAGGAGAAAAACTGAAAGAATCAAGTGGTATGTAGTTATCTTTTAAGCCTGAATGTTGGATACATCACACTTCTACATCTGCTTGAACCTATCTGCAAATCTGCAATGAAACAAAAAACATACAGAACATTTTTATTTTAAAGAAACTTCATGCACTTCAGATTCTTTGTGTTCCGAAACTATAACTTTTTGGAACAGACTAGTTTGAAGTATTAGTTTGAAAGACATTAGTTTAAAAAAAAAACCCTATTAGAACATGACAAAATCTGCTAGAATTAAAGCAAATACAAACATCAGATTGATGGTGAAGCTTGAGGAGAATAGTGAAATCACTGATGTTTTTTGGAAAGTTTATGAGGCCAGTGTTCCAAAGAAATCAATCTGCAGATTGTGAAAGGACACATTATTTTAAGAAAGAGTGGAAAGATGTTCAAAATGTAGAGGTACGTGGATCAACTCGGATGACCATCAGCTGATGACTAGATAAAAATTGTGGTAGATATAAATTGTGGAATGCTACTCAGCTATAAAAAAGGAATGAAATCCTATCTTTTGTAACAAAATGGATGCAATTGGAGACTCTAGTAAGTTTAGTGAAATAAGATAGTCCCCAAAAGACAAATATCATTTATTTTCCCTGTGTTTGTGGTGGTTAGTGTGGAGAGTACAAAGAAATATAACATATATAAGCGAAATTGACATTTAAGATTTGATTTTGCTTTTATCATCCTTGTCTGTACTCTTGAAGAACACCAGTTTTTCTACTTATTATTTGTTCAATTATTTATTTAGTGGAAAATGCAGCTTGTCATTGTAAAGTAAGTTATAAGTGTGTTGTTAAAAAATTAAGATACGAAGAAGGAGGGATTATGGGAGGGTCAATGAGAAATATTGCTATGCTCTTAAAAGTGTGAAGGTGAAATATGTGAGGTTTATTCCCTTCATATAAATAAAAATTTAAGGAGATATTAAAGATGAATACTGCAGCAGCAGTTCATCCATATCAGTGGATACAAATTTACCTTCTTTGAGCCTTAAGTGAAAAGGACAGATAATTGACACCAGAAACAAGAGTCAACACAATAGACATCTCAGTCAGTTCAACTCACACAGTTTTGACTGAAAAATTAAAAGTGGAACAGACTTTCCACTCAACAGGTGCCAAAGCTGTTGCCTAGAGTGAGCTTCAGACAAGTGCATACCATCAGAACTCCAATGGAAATTTTAAGTGTGGTCCATGTCCTGAAACATTTCGTCAAGGCATTGTACCAGGAGATGAAACATGACCTTATATAAATACAGTCCTGACAACACAGCACAAGATCATGGTGACCAGGAGTTGCAAATTGTCCAATCAAAACAAAAGTAGACTGGTCAGAAGTAAAGATGAGTCTTGTGGGAAGCTCGAGGCATTTAGCTCTGCTTTGTAGACTTTCTGGAGGGTTAACTAATGATAACATCTGCTTAATTTGAGAGTTTTGTAAGAAAGTTAAAGACTCTGCAAGAAAGATGCCCAGGAAGGCTTTAGCAAAGAGTTCTTTCCCACCACACAATGCTATTATTTATTCATTTCTTAAAACAAGGGTAGCTTTGCAAGAGTTTAAATGAGAAATCATTGAGCATCCAGTTTATAATTTTGATGTGATTCATTCTGATTTCTCTGCTTTGCTTTAGTCTTAAAGATATTTATTAAAGGGGCATTCATTTTTCTTTGATTAATAATGTAAAAAAAGGACCACACTGGCAGAATTAAATTCTGAAGACTCTCAGTTCATTGCAATTGGACTAGTAATCATCCCTGAAAATGGCTGAACTTCATGAAGTGTATGTTGAAAAATAGAAGTTTATATGTTTAAATTTCACCTTTTAATTCTATTTTCCACAAACTTTCAGAAGCCCCCACTGTGTAGTCAGTTTTGTGGGAATTGTTAGCAAGACAAAACCCATGTTTGTTATTGTTATGAAAGGAAGATTTTGGAGAAGGAACTGAAAAGAGAAACCATGTTGGATACTCTCAAAATAGTGTGCAGAGTCCTGCAGTTAGATCATACTTGTGAAATATTGTGTCAGGGAGCATGCAAATTTAAGATTATTTATAGTAATAAAAATAAGATTATTTATAGTAGTAATATTTTAACTTTTAAAAATTTATTTTTGAAGAGATTTCATGCATTTTTATTTATAATTTTAAACACATAATGACCCCACCCTCCCTGCTTCCTTCATTCCTTCCTTTTTTTCACTTTTCAAATTTTGCAATAATGCTCTTGCCAATTTGTGTTTCATATTGATATTCCTATAGGCATTGAAAAGATACAACTAAACTCAGAAATGCAGTTGTTTCCAAAGAATAATAATCAGAATTAATTCCTAATTTTTAGATGCTAATCTGAGTTGAAGTGATCTAAAATAAATGGTTGTAACTATTTGCAACCAAGCTCACAGAAATACATAAGCTTATATAGGTGGTTTAATAAAGACAGATAATACACATGACTCAAATGCCTCATTAAAAAATATTCTGTGTAATTATGAAACCATACTGTGAAATAGCAAAATCTTTTTAATCTTTATTCATTTCATCTATTTGAAAGGGACAGTTTCAGAACGAGACAGAGACAGGTAAAAGAGACTGATATAAGCGTAAAGTGCATCCACTGGCTCACTTCCCAGATACCTGCAGAGGGTCACTGGGCCGGGCCAGGCCTGCAGCTCCATGCATTTCACACATGCACTGGAAGGATCCCAAGTGGTCCTGTCCCACTGCCTTCCCAGAAGCGAGCTGGAGCAGCAGCAGAGCCAGGACTGGAGCCTGTGTTCTGGTGGCAGTTGGCGGCTTCGAAGGCAGCAGCCTCAACTGTGTGACCGTGCTGACCTCAGTGAAATCTTATTTCATTCCTAAATACTGTTGGAAATATGTGATAATTTTTAGAAAATATTGAGAATTTATTTTGCACCATTTTTCACAGGGAGGAGACAACAGAAATTTCATAGGAATTTAAACTTTTGATAGTTTAAGAAAAATATTTAAGATAATCTAACGTTTCTATTAAGTATATTTTGCTCATTATGTTAATATAAAGGTTTATCAACGTGCTTATTCTGGGAAATACTTACAAGCAGTCAAATAAAATAATGCAAATTAATTCCTAATAAAGTAATAAAACAAATTTTAAAATCTCACTTCTAATATTTTGTTATCTTCATGATTTTTTTCCTGACAATCTTAATGCTTAACTACATGGTTGTCCAACAATGAATATTTTTAAAAAAATTTATTTCCATTTTTATTGGAAAATTATATGTTTGCACATGTATTTGTGTATGTATAGATGTAGATACCCACAGAGAGAGAGAAAGAAATCTTTGTGCTGGCTTACTTTGCCAAATGCTGATGGTAGCCAGGGTTCTGCCAGGCTGAGGCCAAGAGACTAGAAGCCAGTTCAGAATTAACCAGACCCCCTCAAGTGCTCAAGTTGTCATCTGCTCCTTGCGCAGCTGCACGTACAGGAAGCTGGGTTGAAAGTAGCACTGCTGCTTGGAACAGGCACCGTGATGAGGGAAGTGGTCCTCCCAAGCGGCCTCTTAGCCTTTCGCATTATCAACAATTCTGAGTCATCTGGTTCTGTCATTTATTCTGTTAAATAATATTTACCATGGTACAATTACTAGTATGTTAAATTATGATCTTAATATCTTATAACTCTAGGCTTTCCAAAATTGATTCCAGTTCTAAGTTAATCTAAAGTTTTAAAGATTGTCAGTTAAATTTGAAGTTTGTTTTCTCTTTCAGCTCCAGAAATTCTCAACTATGACCCAATTACCACAGCAACTGATATGTGGTAAGATTTTTCTTAGCTACCTAAAGGCCCTTATTGGAAGTTGGACGATGTATATTCTGGCATTCTTTAATTCAGTATTAATAACAATATGTTCTTTAAAAAATGTTTACTCAGTGTCATTATTATGCTACATGAAAATATTTACCTACCCATGTTTTAATCTCTGAGCCAATGGTACAGAAATAAATGGGAACATCTCTTTTAGGATATCTTGGCAAGATAACAGAGTAAGAGAGCCATGGTATAGTACTACATGTTCTGTAATAAAGGTAAAATGCTGATAAACCTGAAGGAAGAGCAAGCAATAATGACAGGTATAGAAGAATGAGTAGAAAGTGTTGGCAAACAAGTTTAGTTTAGAAGGTAATCTTCAGATAATTATGAGCTTTTGCATTATAGGGCATAGACTAGAAAGGATATGAAAACTTCAGTTGGGACCAGTAGAAGAGTGCTGACACCATAGACCAAGTCAGAGTACAGACTAAAGCTCTGTGTTCCTTATCAGACAGCTAATAGTAGTGCCAAGGAAGAATAACCCTGTGCTAACTGAGTTTGTGACACAGGTACTTATCTTGTTCTGGCTCCGAAGCACCGTATTTGTCTCTAATATATTTATAGCTTGGAAAATTTTTTTCAGTGAAAAATGATGTACCTGCCCAACTTTGTGGTTTATGAAAACTTGCAGACTCTTATTTGCACAAAACCCCTGGTTTTATCTGGTCAATCACTCCTATCACTTCTGTGTCATTACACATCATTTTGAAAAAATTTGCAGTAATTTTGTGTACTCAATAACGGCTGTCTGTTTGAAAGGTAGATATAAAGTGTAATGATACATTTCAGCCACATTTTTGTAGCAAAGGATGTTTCTAAAAAGGTCTTTGAAAAACTAGAATTAAAACATATGTTTGTTTTAGTTCAAAAATTCTATTCTTTAATGAAGTGATAAAAATTTTCTTTATGGGCTTAAGTTTAATAAACACACTGGCCAGGTGCTTAACTTCTATATTTTTTAAATCTGTGGCATAGTTTTTTTCCTTATACATTTTTTTTTGAAACTTTTTGAAGATCCCTCAATTAATGTATGTGTATACTTCTATTCTCTCTTTGTGAGGCATACTTTGAGATAATACAACTATTGTATTTTGAATAATCTGTTATAGGGTCTTTGAAAAGCAGTTTAAATGTAAAGCTCATATTAATTTTGAGAAGTATGTAGAATATTCATTGTACTATATATAATTGCTTTGAAGTTAGCATACTTAACTTCTCTTTTTCTTTCTTATTTCTTAGGAATATTGGTATAATAGCATATATGCTGTTAACTCACACATCACCATTTGTGGGAGAAGATAATCAAGAAACATATCTCAATATTTCTCAAGTTAATGTAGATTATTCAGAAGAAACTTTTTCATCAGTTTCACAGCTGGCCACAGACTTTATCCAAAGTCTTTTAGTAAAAAATCCAGAGTAAGTAATAACATTACTTTAAAAAAAAAAGATTTATTTTTATTGGAAAGGCAGATTTACAGAGAGGAGAGACAAAGAGAAAAATGTTCCATCCACTGATTCACTCCCCAAGTGACAGCAGGGTCCCAAGGCTTTGGGCCGTCCCTGAGTGCTTTCCCAGGCCACAGGCAGGGAGCTGGATGGGAAGTGCAGCAGCCAGGACATGAACCGGTGCCCATGTGAGACCCTGGTGCATGCAGGTTGGGGACTTTAGCCACTAGGCTCTCATGCTGGGCCCATGACATTACTTTTTAAAATATCATCACAAAGTAAATAATGTATGTCTTTAGGAAAGATTTAATCTAAAATGATATCAAATTTTTCAGATTATGCTCAAGTTTTCAGGTAATCTGAGGAGAAAGGTGATATAAACAAAATCACTAAACAGCAAATACATAACTTGAAGTGTAATATGCAAAACAGGAATTCCAAGTGGATTATTTAATTTTAACCCTCTGCCAATCCCTGCAGTTCCCTAAGATAATAGGAAAGTTTACAATACACATAGCTGGTTATAAGACTATGGTGAATGATTTGTATGTTACTTTTTGTGGCATTGTGAAGGAAGGATGAGGTGTAGTTGGACAACCTACTAAGAAGAGACTTGTATCTTTGGCTCAGGACTCTTCTCCACTCTTTGGGAACTGCAAGAAAGAAAAGGAAAAAACTGACATTTTCTGTAGCCGGGATCTGGCCTGTTTGCTTTGGAACAGCCTAAAAGCCTAATTTTCTTAGATTTTTGATCCTTTGTCCGTGACAACAACTTAATCTTTTGGAGGACTCAGTCTGTTTACCTGGTTTTTAAAAGATGCTCGCATAGTTTTCCTGATTTAAGTCAAGCTCAAACAAGCTCACTGCCCGTATTTTGGACATGAGTAACTAGTTTGTAGGGATAGTAATAAAACTCCATTATTTCTAGTCATAAGCAGCTATTATTTTCATTTTTAAGATGTATTTATTGAGGTCAGCATTGTAGAACAGCAGGTAATGCTGCCATCTGTGGTGCCAGCATTCATATGGGTGCTGATTTGTACCCTAGCTGCTCTGCTTTTGACCTGGCTCCCTGCTAGAGGCCTGGGAAAACAGCAAACTATGACCTAAGCAGTTGGTCTCTGCCACTCACCTGATTGCTCCAGGTTTTGGCTTGGACCCACACCAGTGAGGTGTCCTTTTCAGGGAGTGAACCAGTGGATGGTTCACCTTCTCTCTGTCTCTTCTCTTCATTGTCCCCTACCTCTGTGTAACTCTCACTTTCAGATATTTTCTGTTGGACCTGGATTAAACCAGGAGCCAGAAATTCCATTCTTGTTTCTTCCGTGGGCAGCAGGCACTCAAAAGCTTGGGCCATCATCTGCTGTTTTCCCAAGCAGATTAACACAGAGCTAGACTGAAAGCGGAACAGGTGGGACACAGAGTGCCTAGTGCTCATAAGAAATGCCTCAATTATCATTTCCTTACGTATCTTTTGCCTGGAACATTTGTTTTTCTATAATTAGAAAAGAGGCTGTGCCCCAAACAAAGACGGTGAAAGCCTCAATGTGGCTAGGTGTAGGTTGAAGTTAGCAGTGTATTAGGTGTTTTTTCCTTTGAAAAATTATGGTATTTGATCATATTATTTCCAAAACAGAAAACAGAATTTTAAAACTCAGAATTGTCAAGTAAACATTAACAACTGGACTTTGTTTCTAAAGCTTGCTGTTTATGTGAACATAAAATAATAATAGAGAATGTAAATTAGTTAGAATTGTTTTCCTCCAGAAGATTTGTAAACCCACAAGTTTGTAATTTTATTGATCTTGTTAGACTAACATATGTTCTCCAGCTTTTTTCATGGTAACTTCCATGGTAAGGTGAATTGTTGGCACAGGTTAGAAGCAAAAACTGTGTGTCCCAGTTTTCCTTCTTTCATCAATCACAAACAAGAAACACTTTTTAATTTAAAATGGATCCAGAAATGAGCAGGTTTTCTACTTGGAGGTTTTAAGGACTGAAGGGACTAAACTTTCCTTGGTTTTTAAAAAAATTTTATACCATGTCTTTAAAATTAGCTGAAGCAAGGCATATTGTAACTGAATATCAGTCACTTGAACTTAGTAGTTTTACATTCAGAAAAAAATCTAGCATTAAACAAAGAAAGTTAGGGAAATATTTCTTTATGAAGTAGAGAAAACTGCAAAATTAAGTCCTGTTTCCATTAGCTGCGGGTCATTCACAAACTGGAGTTGGAATTTACCACTAGGGAAACTGGTGTTTTGTTCACTAAATATACTTTCTATATAAGAAAAGCTTTTTTCTCCAAGAAAGTTTCTTGGGAAAAAAAAGGCTATTTTTGCTTCTTTTCTTATGTAAATAAGAGCTCATGATGGAATTTTAGTTCAAAAAGTAAAATCGTGATAGGACTATAAGAAGGCTTGGAGTTTTAAAGATAATCTTGGAAAATATATAGGTAGGATTGAATGATAGAAGTCATCAAAACATAAAGAGCCAAGTAACTTTACTGGTAACTTCTCAGTAAAAAGCAGAGACGTTCCCCCAGATGAAGCATTTTTCTCAATGTCAATTACAGTATTATCTGTCACACCAAAATGCTAGAAGTATTCATGGAAATATGGTAAATAAATCATGGTAAATCCACATAAAAGAACATTAAATGATAGAGCCGTTAATTTGATAACTCTGTGCCAATGTGGAGAGAAACTTTGGAGGGTCAAGAAAGCAAATGCAGAGATACATGAGCCTGTGTGCGTGGGTATGAGTGGTGTGGATATGCACATAGAATGTGGATAAGATTGATAGAGGTGGGATGGGGAGTTAGAGAACATAATTTTGCCTTTTACATATGTGATAGTTAACGTACTGTAATGTTCAAAAGGACAGACTGTAAGCTTTTTCATATTGGAAAGGCTGATTTACTGAAAGTTAGACAAATCTGTCTACTGGTTCACTTCCCAAGTGACTGCAATGGCCGGAGCTGAGCCGATCTGAAGCCAGGAGCGAGGAGCTTTATCCAGGTCTCTCATGCAGGTGCAAGGCCCCAAGGCTTTGACCCATCCTCTACTGCGTTCCCAAGTCACAAACGGAGCTGGATGGGAAGTAGAGCAGCAGGGACCTATGGGATCCTGACACATGCTAGGTGAAGGTTTAGCCACTAGGCTATCACACCAGGCTCAGAATATAACATTACAATTCTGCTTAATGAACCATTTACAGGTTTGGAGATTTGAATCAAAAGAAAACAAGCCTCCTGGAATTGTATCTCCCTTATTTGTTAGGAGAAGAGCAGAATCCATTTCCTAGTTATCTAGTAATGTTGTGATTATTATATATTTGAAGCATATAGGGTTGTCCCTGGCATGTAAGCATGCATTCAGTAACTGTTAGTTGCTGTTTTCTTTTTCACTTTTGTATTGTTTGAATTTTATAATATGTGTGTTATTTTCATAACAATTTTAACACCTAAAATCTGTCACATTGAAGATATTTGCAACGTGGTTTTTAGTTTTGTTTCCCTTTGCGTTTTTTTTTTTTTCTTTCCAAAGGAAAAGACCTACAGCAGAGAACTGCCTTTCTCATTCTTGGCTGCAGCAGTGGGACTTTGGAAGCCTGTTCCACCCTGAGGCAGTGTCGAGTTCTTTCCCCGCTCAGGACCTTACCTTGAGGGCCTCTGAAGACAAGACATCCAAGGCGTCCTGTAACGGGACCTGTGCTGACCGAGAAGACAAAGAGAACATCCCAGAGGAGAGCAGCATGGTGTCCAAAAGATTTCGCTTTGATGATTCACTGCCCAATCCCCACGAACTTGTTTCAGATCTGCTGTGTTAGCACTTTGCCCTGGCTCACTTGGACTGAATTTGACCTTTCAATCCTCTCCAGTGTGAGGTTGTGGTTTGTAGCCTCCTACTTGTCTTGTTTATATTGTAAATGCATTTTTAATAGAAGAATGTAGGGAAGCATTTTAATGTTAAATTTCTGATTGTTAGCATAATACCCTTTCTCATCTTCTAGGAAAGAAAATATTTAAATATATGACAAAAGGTGAAATTGCTTGTGTGCAGTTACCTAGTAATGGAAGAATTCATGCTGGAATGATCTTATCAAAATTATTGACATATCATAAAAATGGTTTGGGTTATATTGTGCTTGATAAACTGAACAAAATGAAAATGTTGAAATTTAAGCAGTTGTCTCTGAAGTGAGTTCAATATTGACATAAGTTGTTTAGGAAAATGGTGTCAACCTTAAGCTGAAATATATGCTAATTTATAGATACTTGTGCCATTTCGTATTTGAAAATATTTTAAATTTATAAATATGTTGAAGCCATGTAACATTTCTGTTGTATTTTATTTACTCTATGAGAGGGGCTCTTTAGCCAGAACAAAGAGGCAGTTAGGAGCCCAATCAGGAGTACTCTCTGTACGTTGGAGCAGAAACAAGAACAGCCTCGGTTCATCTTTAACACAGCATGCATCAGGCATGGTGAGGTCTGGAAAATGGAGGCTAGCTGGTGAGCCAGTGCCAAGGTCTGTACTCTGCAGACTTGCTAACGGAGCAGGTACTTAGTCAATCAAATGTATTTACTGAGTTTAGAAGAAAATATTGGCATACTCCAGCAACATACTGAATTCCAGGTTTTCCCAAGTCTTAGAATTCAAGCCAGTCATCCTAAAAAGCAAAGCAGCAGTAGAATACTAGCTGCTACAGTGTCAAGGTTGATGTTATCACAAAGCCTGATGACATCAATCTCTTCTTTTATACACAGGACATGAGTTTCCTGTGTATAAAGAGTGAAGTAATCCTGCAAGGCCCTCTGGGAAGCCTCTATGTGGGGCTGTTACATCAGTGTGGTTAGGTCAGAGCGAGCAGAATCTCGTCGGTGATGATGTCTTAGTCCAGTAGTGGAGCATATGTACTCCTTTTTGTTTACCTCAGTTTCCGTATGGTGATCAATAATAATAATTTTTAAAAGCTGTATTATCATGTTGGGATAAGTAATATGACCATGTTACCATTTTAGCAAACATTTTGACAAAAAATAAACAACTGGTATCCCCCCCCCACCTTTGAACCAAATATTACTCTGAAGTGTCTCAAAATTTTGGTAAGACTATAAATTCTTTAGTAATAACATAAAAGTCTTTAATAATCAAATTTGTTTAAAGATTGAATTTCTTTCATGGCATTAGTAATTTTTAAGGAAAAGTTATTCCTACTCTGTGTATGTGTATGTGTGTGTGCATATTTGCACATGAATAGTTGTATGTATATATGTATAGATACCTAAAACATAGTTTTTGGACAACTTTCCTTTAGAAATTCTTTGCTCTAGCATATTGTACTCATCTCAGGTGCCAAAAGAGCCCTTGTATATGACATATATGTGTGTGTATGTGTATATATGCATAGATGCACATACATATTTCTATGTGTATATACATACAAGCACATATATACTATGTGTGTGTATATATATATATATACACATATATACATACATGCATATCGATTCTTTAAGAAAAAGTTTGCTGGTCCAATATGCTAGACAATTGCAGGAGCTAAATTGGCTCTTGTATATATAAAATTGATTATTCTAAATTATTGATTGTCTACTTATTTGTCTTCAGTATTAAGATAATTCAGATAAAACTTAGTGATTGGAGAATGAGAAAATAGTTACTTTTCCAAAATACTATATTATTATATTTTAATTTCTAAGAAAATATATGCCATAAGAAAATATAAAAATCAAGACATATTTAAATTTTGGAACTATAAACTAGCTCTTAAAAATTTTGTACAAGCTTTCTTTTTCCCTGAGGAATCTTAAAATAGTTTGTTTTCACTTAGCTAATAGCCTCCATAAAGTCATAAATGTCCGCTCCTTGTTCTCTAAAAGTGAGTTTTACTGTTAGAAAGCAACAAGCGGCTGGGCAAGGAATATAAAAATTCATTCTTTTCGTAACAATGAAGTTAAAAGTTTTTACTGATTACAGTGTGAAAATAAACCAGTCTTTCAAGAGAAGTTAACAAGTGATTCATTTCTCCCAAAATTCAAGAAAGTCTGAAAAATTTTGGATAAAAAAGTCTGCCAAAGGCAGATGTTGGACTCAGTGAGATGGTCTCAGTGATGTAGGAATTTACACAGCCCCTCTTAGTGACAAAATATTAGTAATACTCAAGCATATCTGCAGAGAGTGGTTAAATTGTGATAATTTGGCAAAGTTTAATTTACACTTTGAGTAATAACCCTAGCTAGATGGGATTTTAAACTACATGATATATAGGTGGTAATTAAAATTATCATCTTCATTATTTTCTCTGTAGTACAACTAACCTTACTTTGAGCAGTGAAATGATAGTAGCACTTTAAGGAACAAAGCAGTACCTATTTCCGCTCTGTAACGAGATCAGGTATGTGTGCCAGGCTGTGGAGCATGATTGCTTTGTCATGAAAGTCAGCTGCACCAGTTTGATTAGTGATGTAATTGATATTCATTCTGGTACAAGCTCTTTCATATTCAATGGGTCACGAATAGTTCATGGGCCATCCTTTGATAGCCTTGATCTAGGCAATATTTGTAAATGTTGATACCTTATAACTGTTTACATTTCTTATGGTTATTTTGAATTTGCAGTTTGTTGTATGATGTGGTAACTTGTTCTTATTCATTGTATAACCAGTTGTTACTTTAATTTCAAGTTGTATTAAATGATCTGACTTCCAATTTAAGGGATTGTTATCAATTTGTAATTTTATGAACCTACTTGGAAGAGTAATTGCAACTGCTGTGCCATCTTAACTTTCATTAGATAATCATGTTGCTTAGAGCATATAGGCTTTCTATATGAATACTCTAGTTTAAAAAACTGTTTATTATAATGCTGCCTCTTGCTAAACATTAAAAAGCACACTTTTGAATTTGTGGTCATCACTTACTTTAAAGTATTTTAAAATTTGTTGTTTTTAAAAAGTGGTCTAAAAATTCTAACTTTGACTCATCATTTTTGAGTTTCTTTTGGAATACCAAAAAGGTTTATTAGGTTCTGTCTGTTGGAAATGGCACATAAATTTGAAGGCAGGCTGGTCTATTTACTTTTCTGGAAAATGTCAGTGGGTGTTAGTACCCACATGTTGAATAAAAGATGGATAAGAAATTCTTTGGGAAGTTCATAATCTGATTGTGAACTAAGGTAAAATAGATCCCATGCTTTATTGTAGGCATGTTCTAGGAAGTTCCATACTCTGAGTACGGAAGCATTTTATAGGGGAAATTGAGGACTGGATTCTTGCATGACACTTGATAGTATTTTTGTGAACTGATTGAAGTAAAACTTGTTTTATGGATGTTTTCTTTTCATAGATATTTTATTTAATATGCATTGGCAGTTCGTTGACACTGAGCTCATGACCAAATGCATTGTAACACATGCCTAAATGCAGCTTTCATAGCCCATGTGTTTTCTCCATAAATGACAACATAGTCTGTAGAAACACTTCAATATTATGTTTCAGGGTCGTTTTGAACTGCGATGTCAACAAAAAGCATTAAAATGAAGGGGAATAAATGCCTAAAAAGAGTGCAAAAGAATATTTATTTTGCAGTGTGGCTGCTGAAGCCAGAAGGCAGAGTGCGGCCTTGCCCAACTTCAGCTGAGACCATGCAGTGCCAGGTGCCTAGCACTGGTTCTTTAACTCCTGTGACTGCAGATGACTATGGAAACACCTAGAGTTGATTTGGGATTTACAAAAAAAATTATCAAATGAATTCCTACGTGCGGAGTCGGAATAATGAGAGTCAACTGTACATGACAAAGTTATGTAAGAGATATAAAGTGTGACAAGAGAAATAGCAAGTAGAATTCAATAATTGAAGAAATCAGTATGTGTTGGAACTTAGAAATTTTAAGAACTTCCCTTACATATTTCAGTTTCTTTTCCTACTCTGTTAACAGACATTTCTTAATTTTTCACTTTAGCATAGATTTTTTTTTTCTTGAGCACTAAGCTATACTTTACCTGTTTATTGGTAAAATGTAAATATCCTCTAGTACATCATGGAAGTATTTTCTGTTTCATGATCACGTTCTTCACCCAAGCTTCTGGCTCGGGGTCGCCTCCTTTGTTAACACGGCAATAGTCACCCAGACATCACAACTGCAAATTGAGATACCATTTTGTAAAATCATATCATTACTGCATCCCTTTTGATTAATCATTAACTTTTTGTAACTTTTAACAGCAAAACAAGATTATTTAAGTCAAAAACTTGCTCCCAGAATAAAAAGGAGGTCTCGAAGAGAGGAAGACCCATTGTCAAGGCGGGGGCTTCTAAGCAGCATTCAGAGGAAGAGCAGCTGACCATCATCCCAAGGGCCAGAAAAACACACAGAAGGCTGACACGGTAATCCTGTCATAAGGGCGAAATCTTTCTATTCTCAGTTGTTTTATCACATCTCAATACATCTTCGAGTAATCTGCTTACTAGGTCATTGGCATTAACTTTGTGTGGACAGGCACTGTGGCAAAGTGAGTTAATCCACTGCTGGAGACAACTGCATGCTAATTAATATTACAGTACCTAGAATGAAGTCCTGTTTCTACTTCTGTTCCTGCTGATGTGCCCCTTTTGAGGCAACTCAAGCACTTGGGTCCCTCCCACACAGGTGGGAGACCTGGCTGGAGTTCCTGGCCTACCCTTGATGTAGGAGGCATTTGGGGAGATCTCTGTTTCTGTCACTCTGCCTTTTAAGAACTACACGAACTTTAAGAAATGAGATACATCTCCAACAGAAATAGTTTTAAAAGAAAAATTTTCTGTAAAGGGTCAATTATTTCATACTTCAGGGCTTGAAAGCTTTTACAACTACTCTTCTTTGCTGCTAAAGCATGAAAGCAACAATTTGTTGACAATATATAAACACAAGTCCCAACAAAACTTGATTTTAGAAATAGACAACAGAGCATTTAGTCGACTTCAACCTAGAGATTACTGTGGTGATGTTTTAATTGACTCTTCTGGATCTAGAATGATTAATATGTGGGAAGAGGTCAACCCAGAAGAAAAGGTTAAAGCAGAAATGAGTCTCATGCTAGTTGAGTATGTCTAAATAGCAAACTTTGAAAGGAAAGGATTAAGACACTGTCATTTCTATAGAACAGTTTCACTGGGTTGTTGAGTTTGCAACTACCTAAAAAATGAGGGGAAAAGCCCATGAGTAAAGGTCATTTTACCAAGAAACCTATGGAAATTAGGTGGAGAATAATAATAGAGGATGTTTAAATATGTTTTAGGGTTGAAAGGTCAACACAGTCCTCTTGAAAGCGATGATTAAAGTACATGAGAAGTACATGACGGTGACAGAACATGCCAGAAGAAAAGTGATGAGGTTGCATACATCAGTGACTAAAAGGGGGAAGAACATTTTCTTTCCACAGAAAAGGTAAAAAGAAGGAGGTGGAGGCGGGCATGATCTTAAGAGTGAAAATTTATCAAAAGGTGAGGAATAGGAGTCCTTAAGACTGCCAAGTGGGTAACGCTTACAGGAAAGCCAAACTCTAAAAGCTGAACACATTAATCTATGATTATGCAGTGTATCATGTAAAGTGTGCAGCCCAGCAGTCTTTGTATCATTAATTTATAGTCTCTTTTCACCCTTTATGTTTGGTACTCTGCTACTCTGCATCAGGGGAAATTATATGGTGGCAGTCAAAATATACAAGCAATGGAAAAGTCCCCAAAACTTCCTATTGGGGATTTCATTTGCAAATGCTTCAGTATATTGGCAGAAAAATAGAGATTTAAAAGTGGGAAAGTTTATCAGGAAATCAGGAGAAAACCTTCATATCTTTGACCAATGAGAACCTTACTGAATATCACTGGGTCTTGTGGACTGATCTAGCACCAGAAATGCGGCTTCTGGGGGTAAGGTGGAAACAAAGGTGCTGTTGTGTAGGTGCACTTTGGCTCCTGAGTGCGGCTGGCTGGGATGAGGAATGAACATTGAGCTGAGAAGCACCGCTCATGGAGGACGTAGAATATCATGTTCTCTGCCTTTGGACAACATTCTCTTGCATAGAATATTCTTACTATAGAAACAGCTCATTTCTTATAGCTGTTTCTAGCAGTATTTCTTGGTGAAAGTTGGATGCCTAAGAGGGTATCACAAGTCCCTGCAGCTAACTCTGCCACTGCTAGCCACCTGATAGGTTGGCTAATCCAGTAGACACAAGTTCCTTTTCTCTTGCCTGTCTCCAATACTGAAGCAGTTTCAGTTCACTTGGAGTTAAAAATGAAAACTGGAGATGTAACTTTTGATTTTTTTTTTTAATGAAAGCCAGAACTAGTAGAACATTGTGGGCAGTCCTCATCGTCTCATTATGCTGGGTGGGAGCTGTTTCTACCTTCTAGTCACAGAGACTAGGAAATGCTGAAGATGCTAGCCTTGGTATCATGGATCCACTGAAGCAATAGTAGCATCATCCCCTTCTCAACTTTTTAGTGTACAATAAAGCCATAAAGCGGTATTGGTACAATCCACTTTCTGTGGGTTTTCTGTCATCCGCAACCAAAAGCATCCTGATTGATGGAATCATCTGTGGTTCCACACTCACATTCTTTTTGAATGTGACTGACATTCTGTGCCCACTTCTGTTTTGTAAATACATTGTTCAACAGTGCAAAACTTGCAATTCTTTAGAGGTGTTTATTTGCATTAGGAATCTCTGAGTAAAGAGCCTAGTGTATAGTGTGTTTCAAAATTACTTTGACAATCATCACATCTGTTTGGATATTATTCATGCAAAATTACTGGCAAAAGACAGTACTGAATTGCCAAAGCAATGTAGTCTAATGATTTTATATATCTGATTTATATTCTAGGAAGAAGTTGAAGTTATTTTCTGAGAATTAATTAACTTATGTGTTGAATTAGGTAGAGTAAGATTATTTGCCATGTTGCTCAAAAGTACTGCAGTAAAGTCAAAGTAAATAAATATCCAACACATTTAATAATTTAAAAGGCCTCGCCATTGGCTATTATAGCTATTCTATTTTTGAGAAGAAAGGAAACAGGGTTATTTGTGGCCTTCTGTGTTTAACCATCAGTATTAAGTGAATTAGGACCAGAGCTAGTCAAAGAAGCTGGTGGTTACTGTGATTTTGCCAAAGAAAGTAGTTGATGTTCACACAGGTTAAAGCAGCCAAAATGGACTGTAGGTTAATGCCCAATTTCTTTTTCTTTAAACTTGCTTTTTTAAGAGTCATTAGTCTGCAATTATTTAAAAATTTATTTATTTCAAAGGCCTTTTTGTGTAAATTCCAATTTATAACCCAATCACGTCCTTACTAATTGGGCTAACAAACAATTCCAAGAAAAAAAACTGTAGTATGAAAGCCATAAAATTTGACTTTTTATGACTATACGCAGTTAGTTCAGTGATAAAATTCAGATACAAAATGATCTGGGCTAAACAAAGGAAAAATCACAAAGGCTCCAATTTATTGATTTAGAAGGTAAGGAAGGATTGGTATAATTAGAGGCCATGAGGAACTTATGTCTGTTATGTATTAAATAATTTCATATTATAGCATTGCACATGTAGATTTTAAACTGCTAGTATAAATAGGCTGGCTATATAGTTACAATTGTGTCTATAACTGACGACCCATTTACATTTTACAGTCTGGCTAGAAATATCAGTATAATAGGCGTATACTCCTTCAGCCTTTCAAAAGGTTCTTATGATCCCTAAACTTAAATTCCAGCGGTGAACTACAGAGGGTGGAATCCTCACAACTAATTATAAAATATTCCCTTTTCTGCTTATTCTGAGAGATGACCACAGCATGAGGGTTGGCATAAGCCCAAAGCAAGAGAGAAAATTCATTTGATTTTGATGCACATGAAGCCAACCCTGTC